CTGAGAGACGCTGGTTAGGATAAACCAGACTCTAGATACATGGGCACAATCGTCTAACGAATGTTCACTAGTCCAATTTCCGTTTCAGATAATTGTGTCGAAAGATTTACAAGAATCCGACTTTTTATATCTTCGTGTTTTGACGACCAGCAGGTCCATCTTGACCATTTTTCAACTTCTGAGTCGTGTATTTTTTTGTTCTGGAAGATGTAGGCCGGTCATTTGTTGACTTCTCTTGTTTATAAGAATTATACACCTCCTCCAACCCTGAGAGAAATCGCATAAATTGATCAACTACTACGGACGGTTGAATGTGTTTATTACCTAAAACAATCAAAGGATCAAAAATGATCCAAACTGCAACGAACGCAAGCCGTGGTGTCCAATAAGAATACGGTTGAGCGCACCAGTAACAGCTATAGATGTGACGTGTATCTGACGGATGAACAATTTGATAACGGTTATAACGTTACAGTTCATATATTTTCCCCCGTCATTTCGGCCTTGGCACGCGCTCTTAGCAAGCGGCGCGAAACAGTAGTGGAGACATTGCGTTCGGGCCGCAGAACAGCACCAACAGACGCAAAGTCGGGACTTCTTGATCACTGTAAAGGCTTCCATGTTAGAACGGGTTGCAGTCAACACCTCACTAAATATCGAACAAAGAGAAGAAACTCTGTCGCCCTACTTCCAGCTTTTCATCAAAATGCGCACATTCAGTTATATGGTAAGAAAAAAAAACAATAGTTTTATTCTATAATGAAAACAAGCTTGGGCTCGAAGTCGTTGACACAATGCGAATGTACAGTAGCCGATGCGCTTCCAGACCGTGGCCGATGGCTGCTAGAGAAAATTCACTCGACGTAACAATTTCGAATACAGTGTTTTAAAGTTAACCGAAAGGTGTTTATACTCGACCCTGTGAACGCTGTAGAAAAAATGAAATATTTCACCCCTATCTCGCGTTTTCAACTATCCATCCAACAGGGAAAATAGGTGACTGTCTAACATCCTCATATCTAGTTGATACCGATGTTAGCTGTTATACCAGCAAACAAACACTCTGCAAACCCTGTTGCTCGCGATCATCCAGCTAAGCAGATGTTTCACCATATAGGCGATGCGTTGTAATTATTTTCAACCAGTCTCATTTTATGATCATTTATTATTTTCGTGATACTACTGAGATTGAGATTAGACCCTTAAACAAACCAACTTGTTTGAGAACGCAATCTATACCCAGTTTTTACCTGTCAATTACGGAATCGTACATCGTTGCCAAAAAGTTTGAAGAGTAATTTTATGTGCGCTAAACAGGAAAAAACTCAAAAATCCTTCATCTAATTGATTATGATTTACGAAAAACCGTAGATTTGCAAATCTAAGCTGCATATTGTTTGTTCCTAGATGCTACCGCTCGTCTCCAAATTCCACTTATCAGCCCATGGGTGATTTCGCAAGTAACGTTTGCAGACCTATTAGCAGCTAGCTATTTAAACGTTTTACCGCGAATTACTGGTAAGAGAAATGCCTATACGCAACACGGGCCATATGATCTCTCTGGTGTTTCTAGCCTACAACAACAGGTTTTTTCGCTTTAAATATTCAAAGTTCTGACTGCGCCACTGCGACGGAAATAGAATAGCATCCTCTCACGATAAACCCTTATAACTTGGGGGTAGGCTTGTTCACTTAAAAAATCCAGAACATCTGATTCAGTGTTATCGCTTTACTTGTTAACGAATTCTAATGTGTGTTTAAAATGTCATAAGTTGTTCACTATCAGGATGTGCCGTTCCTTACTGCTCAAAATGTATGAGTCTTTCATTCATAAACCGAATATTTATATCGTTTTTTTGGTCACTTCCGTGCAGAGCGCATATAGAATGGCACAAAAAGGAGCTTAACATGGCTAATTTGATAAACGAAGAAGCCGCCAGCGTTGCATCAGTGGAACGGGATCGCCTTCTCGAATCACTCACCCGTGAACGGCTAGAAACACAGAAGGCATTAGCATCTTTGGAAGAGGCTAAAGCGAGTCAACGGCTCGCCGAACAAACAGCCAAGTTATCCCGAAACGAGGCTGAACGCCTCAGAAAAGACTTGGAGCAAGCTTTACTAACACCAGCAGTTGCCAGTACTCCACCATTTGGTTGTGGGCACCAACACCTGCTAGAACAACTTGATCGCTTGCAACTTAACTGTGACAGCCTAGAGGAGGAGAACGCCCGTCTAAGACGTTCTGTGAGCGTAATGTCCGAACAGGCCAAACAAGCCGCACAGATAAAAACACCTAAAATGACACACTCCGTCTCTATGACAGATTGTAAAGCTCTTCGCGAAAAATTAAAAGAAGCCGTTGGTGTTATTCAACAACTGGCCAAAGAGAAATATGCCCTTATTGAACTCAGCAACCGTCTCCAATCAATGGTTCGTCAAACACACGATAAGTCAAGTGTGAAGGACAACAAGAAACAATGCGATGATGATAAGCAACAAACCGTTTTCACACATAAGATAACAGATCTTCCCATACGGGGAAATGAGCTGGCCGGAGGCTACATTTTTCTCAGTGGAAACCAAAGACGACCAGGACGTGCAAACGACCCTCTCGTTCCGATCTTGGATTTGCGCGAAATGGATGATGCAGTCTCCTCAGTAATGGGTAAAGAGTCTGTTTCAGCCTTATTCCAACTGCTCGATGAAAGTACCTCCAATTTTGATGAGAGCCGACAGAAAAAAGAAGTCGAACCACAAAACAAAACAATGCATCGAAAAGACAGACAATTGCAGCACAATGCGGCCAGAAATTGTGAGCGTAAAACGTAATGATGACCCCGTTCAATATACTAGCGTCAACAATAAAATCATATCTCATTGTAACCCTTGTTCGTCAATCGGGAAGGGACTAACGGCAACGTTTGTTAAGACATCTGTGAGATGATCACAGACTTGTATAGAGTATTTTACAGAGGACTGTTCAAATGTTAAACTGGGAATAATCGATGTTGATTTTCGAAACGAAAATGGTTTACTAACTATTCAACTAATTAACATCACGCAACTAAAATAATAACAGCCTAGCAAGTTGCATCGAAACCGCACATGGTTCTGTTGCTCGTCCTTCGTAATGAGGTGGCAACGCGCTAGTTAATTGGTCGAGTCACTACTCTCGGTGACGAGAGGTTACATGTTGATACGTGCGAAGATAAGTTTTGATCGATGATGCCGTCTTACGCTCACAATTCAAAAGTCTCACTACGATGTGTAGACGTTCTGATGTCGGCTGCTTGTATTTGTACATAGGGATTTTTTTCTAAACTCGGACTCATTGTTGTATGGTATCATTTTAACACGGTATCAAGGTGTCTGTATCAACCATTGATGAGCTGCTGTCGATGCTGAAAAATCAAATTAAACAACTGTATCGATACGGAAATTATCATCCAATGAATAGGTTGAAACAGGCAGTTTGTCTCTGCCTATAGGCCGCACTAGGAAGTTGTCTATAAGAAAAACTGATAAAACCTATACAGAAAAGATCATTTTTAACAGATCTCTCTCATACAACGCAGATAATTCTTCTAGTGCTATTTCAGGTAACTACCTGAATGTACACTACCTACATGATATTTAAACAGCTGACACCCAAACCGGCATGTTGATGAATATTTAAAATAACCGTTACCTACTTTAATGAACGTAAGACGATAAGGAGACATAAAATGTGTTTCGTCTTTACGAACATTATCTCGTAAATACTGATTATGAATGGACAAGTAACTAAGTTAAAATAACTCAGGAACTTGTTTATGACCAGAACAGAACCTACATTAAGTGTGAGTTATTCAAAACTGCTGTTATACAGAAATCGTAAACGAAATCCTACCGGTTTTTAATGACTCGCATTTGAAACAAGTTTATCGCAAATAAATGGATGGCTATTTCCCGATCCTAGGTATCCTAGTCATTCCGAGTTTGACTAACGTCATGCCCATTCTCAAAAAGGGTTCAAACAATTCGTGTGCGAATCACTGACGGAGTACATTGATCCACGATGAATCAAAGCCGTTTGCAGCAGTGATATTCCGTAGACTAAATAAAACGCGCGAACATCACTCAGAATAAAACAACGAAGTTGGGTCATGTCCATCGCACGACTGTGGACCACAGTTGCGTCAACAGTTTATAAACCCCGCGTCTCCATGTTTGACTCAAACGTGTCACCTCAGTCTCCAATCTATACGGCCATGCGTTGGAGCCTTAATTTCAGCGACTGTTCCTTCTGCCTAAGTAGCCTGACGGTATTCAGCCTGCGTCTCACATTGCAGCACGCATCATGTGATACAGGAGCACGGAGCTTTCTTCTCCCTTTCTATGGGAAGCAGTAGCACATGAGGCATGGAAATCCTATTCCGTGTAGTCTCACCACATTGTTATAACCAGGGTGCATGTAACACCACTTCCACCGAAATGATAATCCAACACATTCGTTTACATACTGGATCACTTATGTTTATACCGTGTGCGGATCAAGTAAGACATGTATCAGCAATGAACAAAAATTGTTCGAACACAAATCAGCCGCCAGAGTTCGATCAACGGAGTAGGTCTGTATGTGTATGTCGACCCGACCTATCCTGATAGTTTGGCGCGATTGTCACGCTTGCGTGCTCTGTTGATCTAGAGTGCCATACCAAGGAGGACTTCAGACATACCAGATGAAATCATGTCAAATACGCAGAAAGGAAGTAGACAAACAACCACATCCATGGGGGTGCATACCACACTATTGACTACGCGGGAGTGCTTAGGTAGAACGCACCGCTCTTAGGAACACACAGCAGAACCATAATAATATTTGTAGCACAGCTATCTCCTTTGGTCGAGATGTCAACGGCCCGTTTGCTCCCATGTTACACGCTAACGCATCAACGCGATCTTTCTTATTCTCCTGTCGGTTGTTAATTCTTTAGAAGAGACCCGATTGCGGAAAATCTGGACTTCGGCTGGATTCGAATCAGCACTAAAAACAACGTGCCCAAACGCAGCAAATGCTCTACCAGCTGAGCTACGAAGCCACGCCGCAGGCTCAGCAGTTTCACATTTGAACGTAGTTACCCACCCAACCAACTGGCATACGGAATCCACCAAATCATTTAGCCGACTGACTGCACAAGCAGGATTTCTCGATCAGTTCACAGTGAAATTAACCAACGCCACAGATAAGCACTGACATTGTATTATGGACTAGTTTGACAAATTTGATAACTTAAAAGAGACCCAATTTCGGAAAATCCGGATTTCGGCTGGTCGGGTGGATAACTAGATCCAAATGTGAAACTGCTGAGCTTCCAGCGTGGCTTCGTAGCTCGGATGGTAGAGTATCTTCGCGTTTGTTGTTTGTCACCGATTCGAATCCGGCCGAAGTCCAGACATTTCGCAACTGGGTCTCCTCCAAATTATCAAATCTGCCAAACTACCTATCAGTACATAATTCTTGGTGGCCCCCAAATCTTGTTTTCACACAAATATTGGGGGCTTGTCTCGTTCGTCGCTCGCGGAGGAAGTCACAGCTCGAATAATAGTGCACAAAATACCAAGGTGGTATTTTTTGCCTGACAGACACAACCCTCTGCTTGCTCGCTGGGTGGCGCTTAAACCTGCCGATAGTTTAACAATCTTGTAAATATTTTAGAGACTATCTCCATCGCTTATTGGTTACGCTCCCACAGATTGTAGTCCAGACGTAGTCAACGATTACCTTTATCACCAGCTCACTAACCTTCTACACATCGTTTAACGCACGGACATTGTAGTACTGACTGGAGGCTTGAACACCTAAGCAGGCAGGCTAAGTGTTGGCCAGCATGACTTAGGCGGTCAGCACTCTTACGGTACTTACCACACAAACAATGGTGAACGTTTGTTGTAGCCCTGTGCTTACAACTGTCTGTTTCTGGCAAACACTAATTCCAAACGTCAGCACGCCAACTGGTGACCCTCATCGTCAAGCCAATCGTGGAAACGAACGGATCACGCGATCAGCAACTATCGGTGGCGTGGCTGTTTCCAAAAACGCAAGTCATTCCGGAGCATCTCTGTGGATCCCGATCATGCTCTGTATGTACCGAGTTCGCTTTACGCTCTGATAGGAGACCATTCTGTCGCCAAACACAAACTGACTTGTCGAAGTTAGTAGGAAGTCAAGCGCCTTACACTAATTAGAGCGCGCTTGCCTCCAGTCTAGGACGCCATCCACCAAATGACATTTAATCAGACTGGGTACATATACGAAATGCGATGCATACGTGTGACACTACTGCACCCAGCTGCGATTATTGGAATTTTTTGATTCTCGCTTGAACATTACGTCCCGCAACGAGTACGATTCCGTGCGAAAAGCTAGTCGCTTAGAACTCAAGAAGCAACTAGGATAGGAATGGGACGCCTGATTGATAACGCGCCATCCAGAAGGAACAAGGCGCTGCTTGCCAAGAATTCGAACGTTTCTCTATCCTATCCAAGCACCGAGTAGCCGGAAGCTTTGTGGACGAGGTAATCCGCGAAGCCAATGGTGTTCCTACCCATCAACTCTAGTTCCACTGGCCGACCACGCCACAGACTATGCCTTCTGGCTCACTCTGTGCCTATTGGTCTGCTGACGTTTCTCCGACCTCGGGAACAGAAGTCTTACTTGAGATCCTGTTCCGGAAACGTTACAAATCATTCGGCTCAGACGAACTCCATGCTGGCATTTTTACGGTTGGGAGCCCAGCTCAAGTCAAAAGACTGACAATTCTGTCCCGGAAACTCTGAATCAGTGAAGTTGTCTCTGATGACCGAGGTTCGGCTGACATCATGCCCGTTTCCAAAAACGATTTAAACAATTCATGCGCAAATCACCGAGGGATTAGCCTGATCCACACTGTTGGAACCGTTTACAGCCGTGACACTTCGCAAACTAAGTAAAACGCGCAAAGAACAAGCCGAGTTTCGCCCTGAACGTGATAGCTTGTATCACTCCCTACACTCCGCCAAATGCTTCAACTCTGACACTCATAAAAAGACTGACAATTGTAGTCTTTTATGCACCAGAGAGGCCTCTGATGCGGTTGAAAGGGCTGCACTCTCAGACTGTCTTTCGAGGAAGAGTTTACCCGAGAAGTACGTGAACATCCTGAAAGCATTTTATCATCAGAGATTGGGACGAATTAAGGCTTGTGGCAGCGTGTCGTCGACCTTCAACATCTCCAGTGGGGTGCGGCAAGTTTGATCAGCCCCTACTTCCTATTCAACTTTGCAGTAGGCGACATACTGGAATGCGCCTTCACAGACTGTGAATATGTTAGTGTGAAACTGCGTTGAGGAACCCCACTTTGAGGGATGCAGACGATATTGCTCTAATCAGTGAGGATTCAACGGGAATCCGGAACATCCTAAACAGACTAAATAATTCAGTTCGGTATAGCCCGTGTACATTCTAAGTTCAAAATGCTGTCGCAGGATTGCCAATAGTCTGCCTGTCTTCCCTGTTGATGGTGAGTCGTTGGAGGGAGTTGAGTAGTCTGTATGCTGTAACCGCAAAAGACGCTTGCCCAAGTATGCTGCTTATTGCCCGATATCTACTAGAATGTGTGCGAAAATACAGAACGAATGCAAACACTATTTTGCACGGCCGCTGTGTATTGATATCCTTAACAGTAGTGCATCCACATCATCTTTGGTGACACGTTACGCATAGTGTATATACACGTTTCCAGTAATCGCTTCCGGTCCCTAGTCTTTCTCGCGTTGAGACCTGCCTTCTAGTTCCCGCGCGTACGAGTCGCGCTATACTACTCACAAAGGTGTGTGCTACACAAGTGTACCTTGGAAGTTGCACTAGCGTTGGTGGGATGTCCGATGAGATCGGTAAATGAAGGCGTTCCGGGCTCCCCGACTAGGGTCCAAAAGATAATGAACACCCTTGGTTGAGGATGCTATTTGGCAAGGTCAAGAATAGAAGTCGATGGGTCTCTGGTTGTGAATATGTGTAACCATCCATATCTTATTCCTTCCTTGATTTACGACTTCTTTTCTTCTTGTCATACGGTGCTGCTTGACAGCAGGCACATTCCGTCGCTTCACCAGATTTTGTGTTAAATACGGGGCAAGATAATAATAATAATTAATGATAATAATAATAATAATAATAAAATAAGATAATAATAATAATAATAATAATAATACCTATGTACAAAAATCCTACATGGGCATGACAGTATATGCCTTTCGACAGTTTCTGATCCGTACAAAACAGTAGCCTAATAAGAACACTTTCACATAGCACGGAGGCCGTACTCAAGAAACAGTCTACCGCTAAAACTAAGCACATCGATGGATACTGTGTAGGCAAACCTGTCCCTTAGAATTCATTAGGGAACATTCCACGATTTCCGTCTTTCCACTACCTCATTCAGGTTATAACAACGATTTGCTTTATCCACTTTGGATGAGCGGATATTCGGCCAATGGATAGGGTGGTTGGGGCATACACTCTGAATGTCGACGGAACGTCTAACACATCACGCATCGTTTTGTATGGCCACTGACGGCGGTAAGAAACTGCAGTGGCCGGGTGATGATGTGATCGCGAGTTAAAATAGCCCTGGTCGCCCGCTGATCGAGATTTGAAGGGGTTGTCTGATAAGTAGGGGAATCCGCACACCGCTGAACGGCAACACTTTCAGGCATGGCAGTATGTCAGAGTCAAATACAAACACGTACCCGCTAGGTTGTTCTGCATAAATCCTAACTGCTTTCGTTTATTCCTTTGCACGTATTTATGTCTGCAATTTCACTTAGCGACAGATCGCAACATCACATCCGAGATGCTGGCTAAGAACGTAAATCATCTGTAATTTTACCGTTCTAACAATTGGACAAAATGCCCAGTGCAGATAAACTTTTAAAAATACAGCAACGAATAGAAGAAAGTATTGAAATGTGCTAATGTGATTGACTGCCATAGAACCATACCTGACATTTTCGATCGTACACGGTCGGAATAACATTGGCGAATAATATACTCTCAAATATGACGTTTGACAATTCAGTAGGGAAAGAACTATGATGGAGTTCTATACATCCGCCGGACAGGGAGAAAGTCTATGAGGTCAGTTTGTAAGACACTAGGTTTTCCACTCGATGCACCGACGTTGAAAACGACCGGAGCTTCAGTTCAGCAGAATTCGCCACAAAATGAGGCCCGGTTTCAGCCCAACCGTCGGGTATGTCAGCATTTTTGTCCGCGTATATCAACAATTCAAAAGTACCTACGAGAAAATAAATTGATCATACTTCACACACAAAAAAATACTAAAACTGTTAATCTCATCAGGCAAAAGCTAAGTATGAAATCATCACCATAATCAGAGAGCGATATATCAGTCATTGGCACTTATGCTCAGCCGTCATACAAACACAGAGATGAAACAAGTCCTAGCCAATAAGAGAAGAGGGGATTTAACTAACAAAACAACTACTTCCATATATGAACATTCAAGACCAATATGCCTACAACGTATAAACAAACAACCGAGCCGCAAGTGAAAGTAAGACGTTACCAGCAAGACGGCTTTCACTGCAACGCGCCACAAGTGCACTCACGTCGCAGACATCTTGACGAAACAACAGTTACGCCACTGAACCCGAGTAGCCACCGTCTCACAAAATCCCCAGCCACACACGGCGTTAATCCTGAAGGCTCCAGACAGGGAGAAAAACCCGACCTACAGTGACCAACCCCTCAGTGGCCGATTTCATTTCTCTACGCCAGATCATCATCTGTCCACCTCAAACTATACGCCAATCGGCCATTGCATAGGTAAAGAGTTCTCAACGTGACAGACGATTGCCTAGCATCCTTAATACATGGCTTAACCATCTAAGTATGTGCAAACGTGAAGAATAAACAAGAGAACAGGTTTGGCAATCGCCAACAAATATCCGCTTCCCAACCTCACTGTTGCCTACCGGTTGGCGTCACCCGATGCGAGCGAACCAACGCAGACTTCGGCAGTCGATAACCTGAAGACGG